AAGGTTCATAGTTCAAGGATTTATTGTCAATTCACCATATGTGCAGGACATACAGAAAATCGAAATACCATTTCTCTCTCACCTAGTATTGGGTGCCATAACATTTAGGAACTAAAATAGAATAAAATAGAATAAAAACAGAATAGAATAAAAACTGGATTGACGTAATTAAGATAAATCTAAACGATACAGCCAATAAGCTGTGACTCAAAACCGTGTACAGTCAGTGAGAGTAGTGCAAAACAACAATAGGAGATTGTCAGATGGTTCAGCATCAACACGGCATTGGTGATGAGGTGCAAATAGCATATGGGGTATAAATGGACAGTATTGCAAATGACCAAGAGCAGCAGATATCCAGACAAAAAATAGTTTGGTGGAGTGGGCCTGAAGACTCTGATACATTCTCCCTAATGGCAGGAGTCTGAAGTGGGAGGCGCTGGGGAGGTGGGAGGTGTCATCAGCAATGCTGATGGCTCTGTGGGTGAGGCGGGTGTTGAAGATGTCCGTGAGGGAAGGCAGAGGGGCACCGATGATCTTGCTGGCTGTTTTCACTAAGCGTTGTAGGGTCCTTCTGTAGGAGGCAGTACAACCTCCGTACCAAACAGTTATGCAGCCAGTGATGACGCTCTCAATGGTGCCCTGGTAGAAGGAGCACATGATGGGGGGTGGGGCACTGGTGCTCCTCAGTTTGCAGAGGAAGTAGAGCGTGTTTGAGCTTTCTTGGCCAGTGATGTGGTGTTGTTGGTCCAGGAGAGGTCCTCAGAGATGTGCACCCCCAGGAACTTGGTACTGCTCACTCTCCACTACAGCACCGTCGATGGTCAGTGGTGGATGCTTTAGAGGTTTTCTCCTGAAGTCCACAATGATCTCTTTAGTCTTCCCCACATTGAGGAAGAGGTTGTTGTTCTTACACCACTGGACCCGGTTTTGGAGATGTTGCTGCCGGCCCACACATTTTGTGGCCTCCCTGTTAGAAAGTCCAGCACCCAGTTGCAGAGAGGTTTTGAGTCCCAGGTGTCAAAGTTTTTGTGTAATTCTGAACTGAAGTCTAGGAACAGCATTTGCATGTAAGAGTTTTTCGTTATCTAGGTGGGTGAGGGCTGGATGGAGAGCAGCAGAAATGGCATCCTCTATGGACCTGTTTGACCTGTATGCAAACTGAAATGGGTCATGAGAGGGAGGAAAGATGGACCTGGCGTTCTGCATGACCAGCTGCTCGAAGCACTTCATAATAATTGAAGTCAGTGTTACAGGCTGATTGTCAGGTCCACTCGGCGCGACCTGCCTCTCTTCCACCTTTCTCTCCTCTGCTCTCTCTATCCTGTGGGCTCTGCACCTCAGCTGTGTTGCATTCCAGTAATTAGCGACTTGTTTGTCGGTGCGCACAGCTGGGGTGCATCCCGACGATTACCTGTCCTCCTTATTTATACCTCTGGCAGACGCTTCGTCGTCGCCGGAGCATTACGTTACTTACCTTATTTAACTGAACTTGCATTACCTTACCTAACTCACATACCCCGTAACAGACATAGTGTCGTGGTATGTATTATACGTCATTTTGTTTTCCACACTGACAGTTCCTGTGCTGTGGATCGCATTTTGTACGTTGGTTATATGTTTAATGTTATACGTCCACGCTGACAGTTCCTGTGCTGTGGATCTCTGAGCTCGTTTTTTTTCCCATGTGGTTAGCTAGACGTTCTTTTTGTTCTCCACGCTGACAGCTCCTGTGCTGTGGATTTCCGTTTTCGCTTGCCTACCCTCCTGGTTAGCTTGTCTGTTCCCTTGTTCGTTCTGATCCTCCTCCTCTCCCGGTTCCTGCCGTTACCCTGTCTACTCCCTTGGTTGTCCCATTCTCCTCAGCCATCTTTGCTCAGCCCTGTTGTATGTATTCATTGACTCTTTTGTATCCCCACCATTAAACCACCATTTTTACTAGCACCTGGGTCAGCCATCTTGAGTCCAACCTCAGTTCTCCCTCACCCTCCTGGTGAGGGGGACTAACCATAACACCAATAGTCATTGTAACTGGTTGGGTGGGGCTTCTTTGGAACTGGAATTATTGTGGCGGCCTTGAAAGACGTGGGAACAACTGCTTGGCTCAGAGAGATGTTAAAGATGTCTGTGAGGACATCCTTTAGCTCCTCAGCGCAGTCCTTTAAAACATGACCAGGTCAAATGGAATTGTACAACTACTACGATTATTAAACAAACAAACAAATATATCGTGATCTTTCCTTGCTGATTGTGGTCTTTATCTTAATAGTGTTCGAACATGCATCATCTTTTAATATTTGGAGATGCATTTGCACAGTGAGCATAGAGCAGTTGATGTTACAGTAATCTTACCACTCCTCACATTCCTTTAAATCACCTTGAATAAAATTGCTTGCATTGTAATGTATATAGACTGTACTTTAAGAGTGCATTTTGCACTTATACTTGCATAAATACACAGTATAAACAGACTACTAATGCACACACAGACAGCAGTGTAATTGGAATTCTTCATAGTACAAGGGTATCAACCATTCCATCTTGTTGGCAAGTGGGGTCATATTTAAACAGACCTTGCTACCACAATGTTTGCTCATGTTAAGCGTGAAAGCCCAAGTCGACAGGAAAACTCAATATATAGAAAAAACAAATATAGGTAATGTGTGTAGGTGATGTGTTTTTCAAATTGCCATGTTTCATAATGTTACAAATGCAAGACAGCCTGTGCATTTGTATAAGCTATAATAAGTTATAATTTACAATTTACAGTTTCTTCAAATTGTTCAAAGGTCGTTACTACCACCAGGGATATAGGCTACGTTGTGTCTGTTTTTTGTATTTTATAACAAATGTAGCTGTAGCAATAGCATGGATGCAGTGATTACAATATATTTTTATT